AGACGTGTGTGCCTGTACCACATCTATCCTGTGATGTAGACAACGCCACTATGTATATACGTAGCATCGATTATTCGTCTTAATCGTGTTTCGATATAATATTAAGATGATGTCAGCAGCGCACTATTTGTTTTCTCTTTCTGGCTTAATCGTAACATAGACAAAACGCATTTACGCAGAATCATTTTTTCTACGTCTTTCAGTAATTTTAGAGTAAAATCTCCCATTATATAAAAGGTATAGAATTAGAGAATAATATTTTTGAGGAAATGACTTATCGATTTGTCTAAATATTGTCTCTAAATAGTTAAAACATCATTTGAATGTACAGTATTTTTTTGTTTATTCTGAAAGTCGAATACAAAGTCAAATATCAATAAAATATAAAATCGATATGTCATTCCCTCAAAAATATTTTTTCTCTGTCTTTTTTTGTGATGGGTGATTTTGCTCTAAGATTATTTAAAAACATATAGGAAAAACGATTCTGCGTAATTGCGTTTTGTCTATATTTTACGCGTGGTCAGAGAGAGAAAACAAATAGTGCGCTGACATCCTCTTAAATCAACAGCATATCACCCGTATCATATACGTAGTGCACAGAGCTACGTAATAATAACAATAATACATATTTGACACTTTATAAACGCATAATAATATTATATTATTTTATTGATGTTGCACACTTGATAATTATTTCGACTATATAATACGAGTATTATAAATTATTATAACATAACATTTGTTGATCATATTATTATTTTAATATAATATACTAACACTGCCGTATTTTGTTGTGTGCACTTTTCCGCCGTCTTCCTACGCCGCTGTCGTCGATTATTTTATCCTCAGCGACAACGAACTCATGGAAGACCCGTTTAACATGTACGCTGCTAAACCGTCGTCGATATCCAAAAGACCGACGTACGGCACGCCACCCACAGTGCCCTACGACGCTACCAGGTACAACAACAACATCGATGTCATATGTACAACATTATACTATTTATTAATATTAGGGCTATGGGTTTTTTTTTTTATAAAAAAGCGTTATTTTTAGCGCACCGAGAAATATACAGCAAAATATAAACTTCTTTAACATGAAGTTTAAATAAGAAACCATTATGAGTTAGGTAGTTCAATTTTGAAACTATTCTTTTGTTGTTTTATTATAATAAAATTTCCGTCAATTAAACCTTTTTTCACACATTTTAAGATTTTTTTTTATATTCGTCTAATAATTAATTGGTATTCACATTTTTTTAACGCCGCACTTGATCAATATTATCTTAGCTTAAAAAAAAAATTTTACTTTCAATACATTTTTATGTATATATTAAATTATAACATTCCAGTACAGTTTATACTGAATTTTTTAAGATTTTAATGCGTTTAAAATGTTTTTTACTTCATTTTTTTTTATATTTTAAGTATATATTTTTAATTCATCAAATCTACAGCCCTCAATTATTAATTATATTAGGTATATTATAATATAGTGTTGTTTGTGCATTCACGTTCGATATAAAACGTTTTGTACATAGCATCAGTAGCCGATTAGAAAATTAACCGTTTTTTCCCACGGTTAATTAATAGTGTATTGTTGTTTTCGTTTGGCTTTTTTTCTTGCAGTTTTATATTATATTTTTTATAAACACCTGTATATTATGTGTGTTTGTGCGTTTTATTTATCTACATATAATTATTTTGTAGTTTGGTTACATTGTATATACTATATATGCTATGTAAATAGACTTGTTAGTGTGGTTTCCTCCATTTTTTTATTTTTTCAAATTCTAAACATAATATTATGACTCTTGTTGTCGTTATTATGATTAGTATTATTATTATTATTACTACATGGCACATTATTGTCCGATACTGTTTCATTAGTCGGTGTAATAATTGTATGTATATTTATATATAAACTGCCCGAGTATAATAAATATACACAATATTATATTGTAAGTATATATATATTTTATCAGACGGGATGTCGTCCCACTGTTCGCAATATACTTCTTCATCGTTATACGTTATATAACGCAAAGCAATAGCTATAATCCTCTGGGTGCAATTAGTCCATACTAACTGGCAAAATGATTAGTATACAATTATATTTGTTATTATGATGTTATACTAATCAGACGAGCGAAATAAATTCTCGCTGATATAAAAAACCAACACCTTAGTCAGCGTACTGCTCAACTAATAATAAATTATAATAATAATATTATGCCATGTTGTTCCGTAAATATCTTATACGTGCGATTCTTAATGATTACATTGATTTATTGAAAAAAAAAAATGTATATAATTGAAATTACTGGGTATACTTACATCGATAGTTATATGATGCATAATCTATCAATTTTTTCTGATACACTCTGCTTAAATATAGAGTGTAACAGCAAGTTCTAACGAATGAAAAATAAAATTGATACCAGTTGAAATACCAAATTAAAATTATATGGCATACAAGAAATATACTCATGTCAGGAAATTAACAAAACTATATTGATATTCAAAAATTAAGCTACTTGAATTTAAATAAACGTGTTAACTATCACAAGTTATTTAAAAATTGGCTTTATTGAAAAAAAAAAAAATAATAAAAATGAAAATTTTTGTTTTCTGTATTAAATAAAAAATAAATATTTGAACAAAAATTATTTCATTCGACAGATATCTATAGGTACAGCCTTTATATGAATAAATAACTAATTCTCCGGAACTGAAACAATCACATCATCGGCTGTATTATAACATTATTATGATAATGATATTATGCTAAACTATTACAACACACTCTGATAACTATAGTAGAATATAATATATAAGTTATATTATTTCTCCGCTGAGATTTCTCGTCAAGTGAACTGTTTTCGTTTCGCTATAGCTATATCGTTATTGTTCGTATTATTATAAATTCTCAAATTTCCTTTAAGTGGTTCGCAGAAAATAGTATATATATAACAATGTTATAAGGACAGAAGTTATGTATTTCAATGCATTCGAATAACGGTACAATCCAATCATTTTATATATCACATAGAACAAGTAGGTGCGTTAATCAAAATTGTACTCGTCGAACATGCTAAAATCTATTTATATGCATTGTGCACTTTATATTTATATATATTTAAAAAAAAAAAAAATTTACCGCAATAATAATTATTGATATCATGTAAGATTTCAAACAAGTATATTTATACAAACTAGTTTACTAACCTAACCTAACGATCTTTAATATTTATCCATACATAATATTGTAATAGGCGATCATATAAATTATAACATTTTWTATAATATAATATAATATAATATTTAATATTATAATAATATTATATTATATAATATAATATTTTTACTTATGGGCCATTATTATATTTTACTATCGTCGACTGAAAACATGGGATAAAAAATAAACTTTTTTATGTAGGTTAATTTGTGTAATTTTTTAAATTTTTTTTTTTTATTAATTACCAATAATTGTAACTTGTAGAACATTCAACATAGTACCCATTATAAATATTTTTAAAATATTTTCAAACGGTTTCTGAATATTGTTTTTAAATATTTAATGGTAGCTTATTGATCTCGTAACATATAGGGGCACATGTCTCTGCAGTTACAATTCCAACTGCATCAGGCATCAGCCAAGTCACGCATGATTTATACGATTATTTATTATTTTTTAGTCATTTCAGATTCGAAATATTATTTAGTATTTCTTTTTTTAATACTTTAATTAATATTATGATTATTTATTGTTATAATTTACCGTTATGCACGACTGGAAATATAGCCGAATAAAATCGTGTTTGATATAATACATCAGGTGTTAATGATTTTGCAGGATACGAGTGGAAAACATGGAGCGACAGATCGCTAATCTAACGGGATTAGTTCAGAAAGCTTTGACGCACGCACCGGTCGTGGCACCACCGTTCAGAAATGGTAAATCTTTGATTTGTACACACTAATATCAATGTATAAAAATTATATAAACCGACTATTTGAACGCCCTATATAGTTTTTAATATTTGGTTTTCGACCGTTAGCTGAATTTTTACTTAATCATTTTTTTATACATATATATATATATATATATATATATATATATTATACATATTTCATTTTTCTATAGACAATTATTTTCATATAGGTATTGAAGCACCCACTCTTAAAATCGTCTACCTACGTCCTACACATAATACATATTATATACCACATATTATTATCTTATGTTAACGTACACACACTTCACCCGTGTACATGGCAATTCACAAAGCATGCACATGCCCTCATTTATTCCTTTGATAATAAATATGTATTCAAATTGTATTTAATTTATAATACGTATTTACCTACGCCTAAAGACAATATTTTCAAATATCAATAGTAATACGAAGAGTGTTATGTTCAGACTTGTCTAGACTAAACTTTAAACAATATGTATTATTCTATACTTAATGAAAAACCATAACACTGTGGCACCTAAAATACACTGAGAAACTATCCTCGTATGAATTTCGATTTACATGCGTCAACATTTTTAAAAAAAATCATCAAAATACTAATTTATAATAAAAAAATGTGTTCTTAAGAAGCTTTTACCGTCTGTTTTGTGTTGAAACATAATATATTTCATATCATGACAATCCTTGAAATGATGGTGTCAGAAGTCAAAATATTTGAAAATATAGTCCTTATAAGTCGGTCAAAAAACACCAGGATATTTTTAATATAAGGGCGATGAGTAGAGTGCTTGCTCGGTGAATCGCGCTGTATATAATATGTATATAATATGTATATAATATGTACATATAAAATACGATTAATACATCCGCACTCATATTCAATCCATATTGCTACCATTATACCCCAAACCTTTTCATATCATATTTTTTTTTTATAATACATCTTTATGATAGTATATTATACATTTTTTACTAATTTCTGTCTGCAGTCAATATATTATTATTATTATTATTATTATTATTACTATGTAGGTTAGGTTACCTTATACCTTAATCACATATATTATTTAATTTGTTGACACGACTTTGCTTGGTTTTTGACGTTTTAATACCCGTTTTCTAACACTTATCTCTTTTTTCATTATTACTATTCAGCTAGTGATGAGTTCGATAAAGTCTCCGGCGGAAGCACCACGTCTCTAGCAGGTATGTTTGTCTATTTTCTAACCCTTATTATATACGATATTATTGCAATTCTTTATAACACTGGTAGTGGTTTACTATAAATATACATAGATTCTCCAAAGGCTTCTATAATTGGTCCAAAGCCTCCCCCCCTTATTTTAATAATGTTATACTCTTGTTGTACCTACCTACCTACCCACCTACCTATACCTACACTATTATAACTAGTTTTTTTGCTACCTCTAAAAAGATTACAACATTTATCCGAGATAAAAATAAAAAACTTCTTATATATGTAAGTGAACGATGCCCAACAGACATCGCCACCTTGTAAAATTTTAATGTCTATGCTATGTAATATAATTTATAACCGATAATATTTTAGAATATATATTTATCCTTGTATGATATATATATGTATATATATATATATATGCTTTGTAGAGGAACCATACAAGCGGTCTGACACTAAACCTCCTAAACTCGGACGAGGTTAGCTATACACTATTTTTATTCTTATACATTAAATATATTATTATGGTAATATAAATCTATAGGTGTGCGCAGTCTCCTATTTCAGGTGTGGCTTTTATGTTTTTGGACCACCCCTTACAACTCCCCCCCTCTTTAAAATATATATAAAGGCTACATACAAGACGTGATAGCGCTAGTCACGACAATATTTATGACAAAATTGATAATAAAAATTCTGATTTTCTTAAAAAGTTAATTATTGACTCTTTTTATCTAAATACTTGGGGTACCTGATTAGAAAAATTACCATCCTCAGGTGTGACCATAGTCCTACATAAGCCACACCTTCGCGGCCTAGCACACGCCTATATGATGAAAAGAACGCTAATGCATAAGTAGGTATATATATATATATATTATAGTAGACTATTTTTTTGTTTTTTTAGACGTATATATACCTACTAAACTTAGATAGTATTTGTGTTGTATTTAAAAATTTTCACTCTGCGTATTGGGCAGCCTTTCGGCTGGCTTATAATATTGTGTATATATATTTTGCTTTCCTGCACTCTATATCAAATGTCTTTGGTTTGTGTAAATATTTTATCACCTCTCTCACCCGTCCCGCACCCATTTACTAATTCAATTTGAATCTCGTGCGTTGAAAATCCGACGTGCAACACTCAAAAGGTAAGGTGATATTTTACGGCTTTCCAAGGTTTTCTTGGTTTTTGCGAATAACTACAAAGTGAATTAGTTTATTTTTAGGTCGAACGATATTTTAAAAGCTTGTATGTTATAATAATATATATTGTTTGAACTACTTGATAAACTTATATAGTTTCTTTTTTCTTTTTTTAAATTTCAGTAGGAGATTATACTCTTGACGACTCTCCGTCGTGTCTCCTAACCATCAAAAGTATAGCGTGCTTCTAATAAACAAACTAATACCTATACGTTATATATTATTATGTATATTATAGCATATTATACTATTCTTTGAGCTGAGAGTTCGCGCATAAACCGATTTGATATGATATTAATTGCTTTGCCAAATTTGCGATGATGTAAAATGATAATCGTTATGAATTATATAAAATATTATATTTTTGTTGCGCTTATTGACATTTCATAATATATATATTAATATAGTTTAAAGTTTTATAACGAAATATTATTGATATTATATTGTTATTATGATTGTTGTTTTGATTATTATTACTATTACCTATATATAACTTTATAGCAATAGATGTTGTATGATATAACGACTAATACGTTGGATGTACTTTATTAACGTTGCAGACAAATCGGTTTCGTTTGAGAAATCCGTATCGTTCAGCGACGAGCCACCGGACATGAACTCGCCAAAACAACATTCGCCACAGAGTTCAGGTAGGTCAATAATTTAAATTTTTCTTCGATCACACGCGGTACACGTTCAAGACCATTTCCCCTCGCAAATATATAATATTGCTTATTATAATATATTATACAGGGGGTACATTGGAAAGATCTGATAGAGTTTTACGCTGAAATCACGAGCGTCATGGTTGACTTGTGTTAGATCTTTTTAATTAACCATGTATATATTATATATATTTATAAGCTTTATTTCTGACAGACATACCATAGAGACGAATACTCGTGTGCACACATACACATACACGAGTATTATAATATATAACATACAAATATGTATGTAAATGTAATATTAATTAAATCTTAACCATAAAATATATAATATATGCGTGTTACCGGTAATATGAATGTCTATCTGGTATAATGGTAATATTACACGTGTTAAATAACTGTGCGTGTTCATAATTTTTGTGTATACCAAATAATGATCATAATTATGAATTGATCGCGAGGAATTTAATATTATATTAGGTAGATATGGGTATGTTAATGATGATGAATGATGACGGACGAAATCCAAGTCATGTACCTACACTTTAATAATAAGTATATTGCAATAAAAATAAAACGAACAATCCACCTGCAGCACTGAATATTTATACACTTTTCGTCGAGATGTTTAGGCATATTAGATAGACAACTGCGTTACGACCGGAGTATAATATGTAGGAACCTGTATAATAACAACACGGTAAAACAACGACTAATTATATCCAGAATTTGAAATCAGAATTCGTTTTGTCCGTTTAAAATTTAAAATTAAATATATTTCCAACAGTCATTCATTTGCTGAACAGTCAGCTAATAATAATATTATTATGACTATAGACAATATTATTGTTAACTCGAGATGGACTCCGATAATGTCATGGTTGACAGAATAATGACTTATGACGTGTTTCTAATTTAATCGTTTAGTACCAATTTATTATTTAAATATTATTTTTTCTTTATTGTTATGTAAAAATCAAAATATTTTTTGGTTGTGATTCTGTGCACTTTGTTGCCCTTTGAAAATACCAACTATAATATTATGTGATTGAAAGTTTGTATTAAATTCGTTATTTATAATAGACGGGATTTTTCCTGATATCTCCAACAACGATTTTTGAGATGTTCACAGAATCGGTTAAGTAAGGTTTGCGTATATAAGCATATTACGCTATAGCATATTAAGCATATACGTATATTGCGTATATTTTATTACATATATTCAACTTTCATATTTGTTTTAAGATATAATTTTTTTATTTAAAACCATAAACGCGACGATTTAATCCATGCTTTTACCTCATATAACCGATTAGCTAATGACAACGAATACTAATTTCTCATATCGCTATAATAAAATTGAAAATATTTATTCTAAGCTGTAAATAATAGAAACGATAAATTTATGAGCAAAAATTTTCATCTGAAAATCTTTTCTTAAATGTTCAGTAAAAAAAGGGGGGTAAATTATCGAGTGACAGCGATCTTACAATTGAAATTGGAACAAATCACACACATAATTGAGCATAATATCTTATCGATATCGGTAGAACGACATTTGAGTGCATTGCACTCAAAATCGTTAAATGCGTGTTTGTTATATACTAAGTTAGCTGACCAGAATATACCATGATACATACCTATTTCATGTTTAGTTTAATTTCATCGGCAAACTATATTAATAATATTATCATAAATCATCACCTAACACTGCTCCTATTTCATTGTTATTTGTTTATGTATGTGTGACTATCTAATATTAAAATTAAATTATTTAACGAGCGTAGAACAGTAGAATAGCTGCATATTGTGTAGATCATGAACAATAATAAGATGAGTCCTATAATTTTGGTGGTAATTATTTTTGTGTAATTCGTAATAATTATATCACTCTCACTGATTTATACTCTTGACATTATATACACGACCGTTTCATTCATGAAACAATTATTGATATTTTRTTTTAACCGCAGATATCCTATGTTTTGTCAACTTAAGACGTTAAATTGCCGACATTTTCTATATTAATTATTCTGAAATTGATAATATTTCCGAATATCACACAAATAATTACTGAACTAAAACCTAGTCAATCACATTACCGGTAACACATTATATACATACATTATATTATATTAGCAAATTATAATAAATTAGGATAATTTTTTTTTTTAATATTCATAATAACTGCAGTATAGATACTACTGTTATATYATTATCATTATAATCATTAAATAATAACGAAAGCACAGTGTGTGAACTATATAATATTGTTTTGTGTTATATTGTTGCTGTATTCCGTTGCTTACCTTATAGCGGACACGAAACCTGCGAAACCGGCAATTAAATCGTCTACATTACCTAGAACAGCGTCTCAAGGTAAACATTTAAAAAAAAAAATTACACATTTGTTCACATGTTACGGGAAATGAAAATCAATTAACTGGACATTTSGTTCATTGCGCTGTGCATACATATATTACGTACATTGAATTATTCACACACACACATACACACACACAGTTTCAGTTATCTGAAATTATTATAACTTGCACAATAAATTATTAAATTATTCAGGCATTTCACCTCGGGGAAAAATCGTCGCTCTTTTGTGGACTCTGAATGGCCGCACTCATTTTTATTTTACAAATATAATATGTCTATTATTATTGCTATTATTACTATTATTATGTGAGCTTTTATTTCGGTCTGCATTTTTTGAGTACAAAAGCTTAGATTTTCATTCAACGCATTTTTTTATTTTCTATTCTTGAACACGCGCGGTTTGTTAGTTTATAAAAATATCGTTTTCTGAACTCCTCGTGGCTTATTAATTTTCCACAAAATTTGTCGACTAATAACTGTAATATTTCAATTTCATCGATGTAGTATTGTAGTACCTATGAAATTGTTTATGAATAACGATGCAAATAGAAACCCAATATCCGAGACATTCACACAATAGTATACCTTTATTCTTTACCTAGGTATCATACTTTTATGATTTTTCATTTTTCGCTGAAAACGTTCCTCCGACCACTACTGTACGAAATTTTCGTCTCAAAGTGTTTACTTTTCTCGCATGTATCACGTTGTAAGTCCATTTCTTTATGACCAGGGCTAGGATTTGTATGCAATAAAAAAATGAAAAATATGCATATAAATGTTTATAAAATAAACTCAAAAATATAGTTACAAAAAAATATATTAATTATTGAATTACATCAGTGATTGGCGTCACGGTTGTTATATAATGTAAATGAGAAATACAAAAATTTAGAAATGAAATTTTTAATTCACACTCATTACGTGTGTTACATGCTACGATCTGTATAATCTTGTATTTTATATTGACTTATATACGTTTATTAACTGTGTTTATCTTTTTCCGTCAAACATTTCAATCTTTTATCGCATACCTATTCTGCCCTGCTACCAAGAATTGCAGTAACTCCAAAATTGTGAAAAGAGAGGTTATATAATATTCTTATTAATTAAACTATCCCGCGTCTTTTTTTACTAAGGTAAAATGCAGTAAAAACCACTATAAACTCCTTAAAAATCGATTATTATTTCAAAGATATTCTGGAATTCAGGTAAAATACTAAGCAAAAATGCAGTAACGCCATATACTAAGAACAAAAGCAGCAAGTCCATGGATTTACTGCATAATTTCTTAGGAATCGGATTTCTAGAAGTTTTACATGCTCTTACTGTATATTGCCTTAGTAATATTGTGTGTTCAAATGGCTTCTATCTTTGTCGTAATAACTCCATAAAATAACTTTTTTACATAACATAGGCTTCAGGATCTTTGAATTTAGATAATTCTAAGTTCTAACCATGGTTATACTTCATAATAATATTGTATTTTATTAGATAAGATTGATTATTCCTAATCTAACAAGTAACAACAAATGTGATTATAATATTATTATTAACTAACTTATGGATCTCGATACAAGTCAGTATCTAGTCACTATCCTGTTAAAACAATATTTTATATTTATATTAATCTACCTATCTTTCTATATTGATACAAGTCAGTATCTAGTCACTATTTAGTATTTTTATTGTTATTARYTTTTTTATTATATCCACTAACCTATGTATAACAATATTTTGTTAATCTACCTTTATATCTTGATACAAGTCAGTATCTAATCACTA